ATTACTATTACAATTACCAACGAATGTAAAATTACTTGAGCAACAGTATGATTGTCAAAATTTCGATTGAAATATGTCCGATGATAAAAAGTACGCGGGTTAATTTTATAATAAAACGATTTGCATATTTTATTTTTAAACGATCCATATTTTATTAATTTGTTTCGCGCGGTACCCTATTGTAATACTTCAATGATAAAAAAAAAAAAAAAGAGAGAAAGAAAGAAATAGGAAATTGTATCAAAAATAATATATCGTTAACCGGATGCGTTACGATTATAAGACGACGAAAAACGTATGTGTTTTAGCTATATGCTATTCGCTCATTATATAAAACCAAAGTAAAATACACAATTTTATCGATAATTGCGTAAGATTTTCGTCTCCTCGCTCTTTAGTGCTTTTTAAATTTTTTTTTCAAGATAAAATGTGTTCGTCGATTAATAAATATTATATTCCGCACTGATAAAATAATATATCGCAAACCTATATCGTATCTCGTCGAAGAAACAACAACAAAAGTAAAATAGAAAAAAGGGTGCTTTCGCTCTCCAAACCCCCCTCCGACCCCAATTTTGGGTATAATTTTGTGTGAGATTTAAAAAACAAAAATGGTCTAATTGAATATCATTAAAAAATATATATATATATAAAAGCGCTTTATATTGTATAATTTGATTTTTTTATATATAATTGTCTATAAATATGAATATGTAAAATAATTTTTATACATACGTGTATGTGTGTGTATAAATACATATACATATATGTATATGTCGATACGCAATAGTACGAGTTTATTCTCGAATTTTCAATTAGGCGATATTAAGATCGCATAATTAAAAAAAAAAAGAAAAAAAGAAAAACCTGGCTCTAATAATAAAATTTACAGTGATGAGCATTGTTATGTTAATGTAAAGACTGTTCGCGCAACTTAACGAATGATTGTTTTTTTCTTTTTTTCTTGAGTTATAGCCAAGATAAGATATATATATATATATATATATATATATATATATATATATATATGTGTGTGTATGTTCGTTTTAATTCATATTCATTTTTCAAATTAACATATCAAAGAAAATCTATGAGATGTAAAAATTGTTTAATATTTTAGCGGTATGTTCGACGATGAAAAAAAAACTACGTCAATGTGGTTTCGCAAAGTTAGGTTAGATAGTTATTATTGTTAAAATGGTGGGCATGTGAAACATGATATTCGACATTAATTTTTTTAGGTTATATCATATTATTCTTTTTAAAAAGAAAAAGAAAAAGAACAAAAAATACACAAAGCGTCCCTTCATTTTTTAATTGTTTGAAATTGTGTGCATTATCTCCTAAGATAAGAAAGATACGAAATTTCTTTCTGGACAATAAATGGAATAAGAATGAAAAAAGAGCAAGGTTAAAAAAAAACACATTGATCGTATTATTTTTTTTTTTAATCTCTTAAATGTATTCCATCCAAATTTTATCATAATTTCGTATTTATGAAATTTAATCGAACACACTTTGATTGCTCTGCAAAATTAATTCTTTTTAAAAACAAGTCGCATTATTTTCTGTAAAAATTTGTTATCTTCGCAATTTTATATTAGAACAGCTAAATAAGTAAAAAAATCTAGTTCTGAATTTTCTAATTTAAGTTTATTGATAAAATAATATCGTTGTGATTTCATCGATAATAATAAATAAACGATACTAACTATTAGATGAAAAATTTAACCATTTAACCTAGAAATTCAAAAAAAAACATCTTCCATGAAAATTTTCTTACAATTCTCTATAAGAAATAAAAAGTAATAAAAAAATGTTTGTAGAATAGAGGTAAAAATTTGCGAAACTCGCGCATTAATGATAAAATAACCAAAACAAAAATATCGTTAATCAAAAAAAAAAAAAAAATGGTGGAAACCTCCTCTGGTTTCAAGCGTGGCTTCGTATCTCCATTATCTGTGGAAATATTGTACCATATATATACATATTAATAGATATTTGTTAAAGCGGATCAATTCCTCGTAATTATTTGTGCTGTTAAAACAGATTGAATAATGCGCGCGAACAAAAACATGGCACAAAACACACACACACTCTAACATATTACACACGATCAAAAAAAGAAGCTTCAATTTTTTCATTCCAATTTCGTAGAACAAAAAACGACAAATATTATTATTTATTCACTATAAAAATACACAATTGCAAAATGGTCAAGAGTTTAAACAGATAAATAATATGATAATTAGATGATGTTAAATCTAACTAGGCAGAGCAGTACTACGTAAAGACGAATAAACATTTCTTTTTTATTTTTTTTTTTTTATTTTTGTATAATTTTGCAAAATCTTCAATGAAAAAAAAAAAATGAGCAACAGTATTACAATAATTCTACTTTGTACATTATCGATGAAAAAAAAGGAATGTGTTTAAATAACGCGATGCGTTTTGGTAACGTTACGAGTGAGAAAGTTCTGTTAGTTTTTTCGTTAGGTCTTGCCCTTTATGAAAAAAAAAAGAAAAAAAAAGAAATAAAGAATGTAATTTCAGAACACCAATATTTAATATCAAAGTGGCCGAACATTTTGTATACAAACTACGTTATGGATGATTCCGGGACTCTTAATCTCGTCATTCACATCGACAATTAAGAGGGAGGAAGACGAAAAAAAGGGGCTGCGTTTTTAGTAGTGGATCGACAATAGTTGGTAAACAAAAAAAATGGTAGGGAAAAACAAATTTTTGATATTTTCTACGATGGCTCGTATGGTAAAAAAAAAGGGAGAAAGTTAAGAAAGTAAGAAAAAAGGAGGAAGTTAAGGTGAAAATAAATGGAGGATTAAAAAAAAGCGAATGAATGAATGAAAGGCTCGGCGTTCTGACACAGCTTGCAATGAGGAAACTTGCAATATAACAAGCAATAAATAAGCCACTTTTAATTCCATGTATATTAAACAATTATGTGGATGCTTAAACGAAATTTATTGAATTAAACAAGCAAGCCAAGAAATAATAAGATGAAATACCAATTTTACATATTCTTACTAATCGTAAAACAATTACAATACGTATAGTGACATACTAAAAATTATACGATTATGTATCGATTTATCGATTTAAAGGAACAAAAAATAAAATAAAAAAAAATGGTAAATAATATTAAACGCCTGTGAGCGAGCAAGCGAGCAGATGGTAATCTAATCTTACGTAAGTACGTAAAAAATTTCAATTTTACACTACCGATAATAATGATATAACGATAAGAATATATAAGATATATGATGATTTATAATAATTATAACGTTGTACAGAATATTTATGAAAGGTTTGCTGCTGGCGAAAGAGTCGCGCGCTACTCATGCGTGTATATTTGTGATGATTGAACGAACGAACGAAGAAGAATAAGACAAAAAATTATAGAAAAAGTATGGTGTGTGCGCGCGCTAAACGTAAGAAAAAAGAGAATACACAACACTTTTATTGATCATTTTGTCAAATAGATCATTAATGTATTCAAAAAAAAAAATGAAGATCGATAAATGAATAATTGATAAATGCATATTATACGCGAGTTTAATAAACGCGCGGCTCTCTCTATCCAAAAGCGGCCAGACTATAATGAATGTTTTGTAAGATAAAAGCAGAACGATATCTCAGTAAAAGATAAAATATTGGGAATCGCGTGTTCTAGAGAAATGTATGGTCGATCAAATTTCGTTCAATTTCGGAATGAATTCGACGATGCTTTTCTCTTTAGAAGGAAGAGAAGAAGGAGGACAGACACAGCAGCAGCTCTTTTTCCCGCGAAATATTTAGAGCGCTGCTATAGAAGAAAAACGCCATTAAATGGCCCTGACAATGAGAGATTTAATTATTATGGGAAACGAAATATGTAGGGACAAAAAAGGCAAACATAAAAGAAAAAAAAAATTAAAAAAAAAATAAAGAAAAGTGAGATATTTACGCGCCGCAATATGGCGGCGAGAGCGAGGGCCGATAATCTAATTAATTGTGTATGTATACAGATAAAAATAAATATAATATTGCGATTATAAATATTAAACTCTAATAAAGAATAACAATATTGTACCCCTCTGTACATATAAATATATATTATAATACGATGATTATTACTATATGATTTATTATAAATATGTATACGCATGTATATATATATATACATATATATTATATATACACATATATACGTGTATATACATAAATATAAATATATCTCATAAATTCGCAAGATTATGTTCATTATCGTTTACTTATTATCATCGTCATCGACATCATTATTAATATCGTCATTGCCATCGTCATCATCATCATTATCATCGTTATCATCGCCATCGTCTTCATCATTCTTCTTCTACTTCTTCTTCTTCTTACTAATACTACTACTATTATTATTATTATTAATTATTATTATTATTATTATTAAAATTATTATTAGTTTTATTATGATTATAATTATATTAATTAATAATTATTATTATTATTGTTATTGTTATTACCATCATTATTATTATTATTATTATTATAACATCATCACTTTCATCATCACTATTATTGCTATTATTATTGTCATCATTATCATTACCATCGCCACCATCATTATTATTATTACTATGATAATATTAATATATAAGAGAAGGTTCACAACGTGCCGTGTGTATGTGGGAATAAAATATATAATATAATGGACATTGTTCAATTCAACATATCATGTCTGTTTATTTCTTTCCTCTCTGTAATCGATACTATATTAATAATAATTTTTATATTTTTATTATTTAGAGAATTAATTAATTCAATTTAATTTGACAATATTCTCGTAAAAAATAATTTAGATAACATAAAGTATATATATAACGAATAAATAAAAAATAATTGACGCGTATTTTTCATTTTTATTTAGCCACGTTTATATTTGGCGCCACTGCAACTAACTTCAAATTTGTATTTCGAGTATCGATTGACCAGATGGCGCTCTGTCAAGTCGTCGTCTTTTCGTGACAATGAAATGTGTTATTGTCGTGTTTATCGAAGATAGTCTGAACAAATTAATTTATGTTGATTTTATTTAAAATATTGCAAAAGAAGAAAAACGATATGGGTATATTTTTTGCTAAGAAAAAACCACAAAGTCGTGTTACCGAACAGGACAAGGCTATCTTGGTAAGCATCATCTGTCAGATTATTCTAACCTAAAAAAAATGAACTTTTGTATAAATTAGAATTGTTTTAATATTTTTAATAATGTTTTGTAGCAATTGAAACAAACCAGAGATAAAATTAAACAGTATCAGCGTAGAATTGAACAAAATCTTGAGAAGGAACGACTATTAGCAAAAAAACTTATACATAATGGACAGAAAAAGTAAGTTATTACAATCTTAACAATGATACTGTAAATTTAATCATTTATCGCATAATCATGTTTTAAAATTATTATAGTCGAGCCCTACTATTGTTACGTAAAAAGAAATTTCAAGAACAAGTTCTTTCAAAGACCGATGGTCAACTACAAAATTTGGAAACAATGGTACACGATATAGAATTTGCACAAATAGAAATAAAAGTAGTTGATGGCCTAAAAGAAGGAAATGTTGCATTGAAGAAATTACACGATATTCTTTCCATTGATGAAATCGAAAAAGTTATGGACGAAACAAGAGAAGGTGTGGAAAAACAAAGAGAATTAAATGAATTGTTGTCTGGTGAACTTACGCAAGAAGATGAGACAGATATAGAAGCAGAATTAGATGCTTTATTGAGTGCAGAAATAAAAGAAACTGCACCAGAAGTACCGGATGAAATAACACTGCCAGATGTACCTACAGTATTACCAGAAATCAGAAAAGGTAGGTTCTCTTATTGTTATTATATTATATAATGTTTCAACATTTATACTGATTTGATAAATATACGATTCTCCCTTTTGTATTTACAGAACGCTCGAAGGAAAAAGTACAAGAGGCAGTTGCATTAGAAGCATGAGAGACCAGTGGGTAGCAGGAGTAAAACTTCGACTACCTCAAAACTATGGAAAAGTTCTTTGTACATATGTACAGTGTATAAACTTAAGATTTTAGCTTTAACATTGAACAACATTTCATTGAAAATTGTGAAACTGCTTTTATTGTGAGTCTTTTAAATTATCTATAATATATATATATATATATGTATAAATTATTGCTGTGGATAATACAGTAACTAAGCAGAATATGTGATGTTGTAAGGGATAAGATGATTATCGATGAAATAACATAACTTTTTATATATATAGAATAATTTCTCAATTATCGGTATGTTAATTATGATTGTATATCCTTATAATTATTAGCTATGTTTTGTTTTGGATTTTTTTCTAAGAAATGTTTAATAGTCATTAAGAAAATTACTAATTTATAAAAAGAATAAGGTTGTTATATTCTTCAATTATAATTTTAACTGTATTATAACAACTGAAATAATTTTAAAGAATAAAAGAAAGGAAGTCTTATTTTCTTATCGTATGAAACTTATCAGATTATATCGTAACGTTATCGATCTGTCCAGATGAATAATATCTTATACACTTGTTTGTACGTTTCACGTGAGAATATATCTATTCAGAATATTGTGTGTAATTGTTCATCATTTAGAAAATCTTAACATAACAGTTTAATAGAATCGATAAAAATTTCTTCATATATGAAATAAATATAAAAAATTTTTCATTATTTGTAGATAAAGTAATATTTTAATTAAAAAATGATTTAAAAGAACAAAATTACTGCATCTAAAGTAACAGTACGTAGTAAAATATTTTTATACAAATTGAATGATTTACAAGATTATTATATGAAAATAATTCATTAACTTATAATTTAATAATTTGATTATTTAATTATTATTATTTATTTCTTTCGCTGTAGCCTAATACGTGTAATTTATAAATTTACACGATTCATTAGGTAGTGTGAATGTCACAATGTTTCGAATGATGTCACAACCTGTTACCAGTTGACCTATGTCTTTTCTTCTAATCTACATAATTAGGGAGATGGTGATATTTTACGTGACGCCAGTACGAATCGATCTTTTAACATATTTCACGATAGTTCATACAACATCGTTGTCAATTTAAATTAAACAACAAGTTTTTATCCAGTTAATAAAATAAACATTAAAGTTTAGATTTTAATCGTATCGTAATTTAATTTGAAGACAATCGTCATATTAAAAGATACGATTAATTTCAATCGATGCAATTATCATCGATCATTCGAGAACACGAACATTAGTTATCTAGCGCCAATAATAAAAGCTTATATACAATTTCCTGATGGCAATACGTAATAGATAGTAGAAGATAAGGAACCACATATCCCAAGGTTAACACATACGTTAGCTGCTTTGACCAAAAAGAAGGTACTAACGTTTTAATAAACTTTCTTGTATTTTTTATTACGATAACACTGATCTTTATACATTTAGAAAAATCTTTACGTGATGGTTGACAACTCATATAACAATTTCTTTATTAAAATATATGTAAAAAAGATATTTTAAAAAAGAAATCGGAACTATGTAGACCAACAAAATTAAAATTGACTATACATATGTTTAAGGATACATATTATGTACATTATGTATTTGCCAACATTATTATTTGCACTGTGATAATTTGTCTAATTCGTTTGAAAAATATTTGTACAAAAATTCATAGCCTTCTCTATCTTTTTTTTTTTCTTTTTTTAACAAACTATGGACCTATCTAAATACGCTCTATCTTTTATTCTCTTCAATTATTTCATATTAACGTTTGTTATACACTTATTATTACTTAACACTTAACTAACCGCGCGCGACATAGTCAACTGTACTTTTGCTACTGAATATTTTTCACAAGTAAGGTGAACTAATATTCATTATTTAAAAATTATTTAAACGATTAATTATATTTTTTTTATGTTTAAATAGAAAATGTTTGTCTCTCTCTCTCTCTCTCTCTCTCTCTCTCTCTCTCTCTCTCATGATGATGGTTGCAAATAAATCCAGATTTAAATAACAGAAAAAAGAAAATGAGTTGATATGATTAAAATGAGAGATCTCTCTCTGGCAGTGCGATTGACTAAGTGTTTACATCGTAATTCATTAATAAACGATCATCATCTAAGAGGAAAAACAATTGTACTCTGTGGAAATATGAACCTTTCTTACAAAACGTAGCGTCTTCAATAACATTGATATTCCTAACTCGTAGTATGTCTAATTAGAATTACAATGTGAACGGAGGTGTGTACGGATAATTGAGCATGCGTATCCAATTGCCTTATCATCGTCGAAAATAACTTCAATTACATAGATTCAATAAGGAAAAATCACGTATTTTCTTCGAACTGACTTACATACGAATGATTGAAAACAAATTATTTATATAAAGGTTTCATTGTTCTTTAAATTCTAATTTTTTTCATTTTTTTTTCTTTTTTTTTTCTTTTTTGATGCTGCATGAATTGTCTTTAACAAATCTGATGACGTTTAAAAAGTAATTGTAAGAAGTAAAAGACTTTAATTAAACTAAATCGATAAGACACAATGAAGATGAAATTGTATAATCATAATCGTTCAAAAATCGATAGTTTCTCTAAACTACGTTAGTAGACAGATACAGGAAATGAATGACTAGTATCATAATATATTTGAAACGTCAAGACGACATTACCTATACGGATCAGTAAATCTATACTTAAAACCGGGCGACCTTCATTAGTATGAAAGAAAAAAAAGAAACTACATTTTTTTACTGTCTTATTCTTCTTCTTTTTATTATATTATTATATTTATTATATTTTTCATTTTTCATTTAAATTCTTAGGTGTGACAAAAATTTATGAAACGATATTAAAAAGAAAGGGAGCATAAATATAGGATTTTATAAAAAAAATTATATATATATATATAAACTAAACTAAATATGTATATATATATATTGTTTTTCTTTCTCTTATTTTTCCTTTTTTATTGTAGGCACGTTTGATCGTCATTGCTATCATACATTTAGCGATTAATAAAAGTTTTTAACGTAAATAAAAGAAACCATAGTCGGACGACTTAGTTAGTCGACGAACTTAGTCAAAAAATTATGAATTTTTTTGGATTGAAATTAATTGTAAAATAAATCAAAATATTTCATTGCTTTTAGATATTACGTGTTAAGTATAATATTGATTTAAAAATTCAATACAGAATATCTTGAATTTTTATAACAATCTTAACCAGGTTTTTTTTAATAGTCGAATATTTATTTTAAAAAATCGAATAAAAATTTCCGATATATTGAAACAACGTCACACAGATAAATAATTTAGTGGTCATTAAATAGCTAAACATGGTTTTTTAAGACTTTTATCATGTGATGTAACTTTTTGTTAATGAAAAAAAAAAATATATATATATATATATATATATATATATATAAGTTCATAAAATATTTATTACTTCCGGCTTTCACTTATTTTTATTTCTTTTTTTGAATTTACGTATAAACCACAATAAATATCAGAATAAATTTCTATCTCTAAGAAATTTTTCAACGAAAGATATTTCGTCATAATGAGACATTCTCTCTGACGACAAAATAACATATTTTTCAAGATGATAGTCTTAGAAAATGATGAGTCGATTAATGAATCAGATACTACAATTATAATCAATACTACGTCATCAACGAAATTCATCGATAAACTTATCGTCTTAGTGAAAGATATATAGATGATATAATACGTTCATATTAATGATACAATAAATCTTGCATGATGAAATACATCATGTACATTTTATTTGTATTACAATGGATCACTTTTACATCGTACTATTTTTTGTTTTTTTTTACTAAGAGTTCTCATGTCTATTTATATAGTGACGATAATAAATCATGTTATTCGAATTCAGTCAGTTAGATATGAGAATGATTAAATATTTCCAAATGAAAATACTATGTTAATTTATCATTCGATTAATTTTTATTTCAACCTCGTGAAAAAAATCCACTAGGAAAATTTCTTCAAATTAAGAATTTTAGGAAAATTTTTAACGATTTGATCAAAATTAGAAAAACCCCCCCAAAAAACATAAAAATATATCGTGACAAATAACATAATAATTCATGAAGTAATTACAATCGAATTGAATGAATTGCTAATCAATATCTCATTGATATTACAATAATAAACTTCTAATCAATTCAAATATAAATCATTCCCGTATAAATCGTGATAGTTTTTATAAAATATTTTTTTGTTGTTAATGACTATTACAAGACTTGCTACGCATATATAATTGCTTAATATAAATATATTACGAACGATTGTTTTGACTTTGATCATTATATAATTTTATATATAAGGAAACGTGATTTGTAACTAACAGTACCGTTTTTCTTAACTACTGCGTAATTTGATTTTTTTTTGTTTAAAAATCACGCTGGATAATTAACAAATTAAAAGTATTCAATGCAATAGAATTGACTGAACATGATGAAACTTCACAAATTTTTGTTAAGTTCAACGATCTCGTAATATTATTTTAACTTAAAGTAAAAAAAGAAAAAACTAATAAAAAAAAAGAAGAAGAAAAAAATATATTTTTTTCGGAGGAAAAACGATAAAAATAATTAAAGCAATGATAATAATTATCTTTTAACTCGTAAGTTATCAATCGTAAATAATACTCTCCAAACGTTGATATTTTCAGAGACCTCTCTACCTGGTTGCTTGCTTGCTGGCTGCCATTTGCTGGTTACTTTAAAGAAGAAACTGTCGAGAGATAATTCCGCGTATCTCAAAAAACCTTTCGCTGCCAACCAAGCACATCACACGATGATACCAAAACCGATAAAGTGTTTATACCTTACTTTGGTCGCCTTCTTAATCCTATTTTCGCGTCTGATAAAATTGAAAATCAATATTGGAAAAGTACACCGAAAAATCGAGAAAAAAAAAAGTAAATGGCGATAGTGTGTGATATATTTCATTTAATAAGATTTTTTGGGGAAAAAAAATCAGTCACGAATCTTGATCTTTTATTTTTTCTCTCTCTCTTGTCTTATTTCATGCTGTAAAAAAAAAATTTGTGAACGTAGCAAAATATTGAGAATTCAATGTATCCGCTTAGTGTCTGATTAGCGTCATATTTCGCTGAATCTTCCTTTTTTTTTCTCTCTATCTTTATGCACACACATACATGCATTTATCGATAATACTTATTTTGCTTGAACGTCTTATTGTCATTAGATATAATAATTATTATCGTCTGAAATCTTGGCGCTTTTCTAACACACGTGTGAATTAGATGTTCACGTACTCGTGTTTACCATACACGTGCATACATATATGTATTCTATCCATGGAATACCGGACACAGAGAAAGAACTCGCATTTACATGTGCACCGTTTCATCTCCGTCATGGCCTTGAACGCTAACAGCGTAAAAACGTCGTAAAGAGATGACTTTGAGTAGCAAGATTTTCTTTTTCTTTCTTTGTCATTTTCATTGGAAAAAAAAGAATACATAAGATTCTCTATCTCTCTTTCTTTTTTTAGATAAATAAAGAGTGAAAGTGTTACGGATTTTAAATCGAAAAAAAAAAGAAAAAATACTTTTATTATCTTGTTTTCCTGTTATGTTTATGTTTCTTGAATGGAATTCGTATTTTTTATCCTAATCACGTTCGTAATCCTTTTTTTTGCATATAAACTCAATGCCGCATTAAGAAGAATATCCTTATCTTTTAACTTTTTTTTTCTATAGTTTCGAACTTTGTTATTAACATAACCGACAGTTTTTCAATGACTCCAAGAAATTATACATATGTGTGTGTATTTTACTTGTGTGTACGCATATCAAATATCGTATGCTTTATTCAGAAGACGTTCGTTTCATATGAAGAAACGTTAATTGTACCGTTGTCTGAAACACGTTTTGCGTGTTACCAATACAATCTTGTTTTTTTTATACATATGACACTTAGATATGTACACACACACACACACACACACACACACACACACACACCACACACACACACACACACACACACAGACAATAATCTTTCTAATTATATCTTTTCGTACATGTAAGAGAAAGTCCGATGCATAAGTGAACATATTTAGAAACGTTCGTATGAGAGAGAGTATTCTCTTGTTATAAATTTGATCCTAAAATAAATTTCTATTATCTTTCTCCTCTTTTAATAATTTTATTAACATCTAAAAAACGTTATCATTGCACATAAATAAATTCGTTATGCGAACTGGTAAGCTAATTCAACCGGTGCATACGGGAATGCACGAGTTTATCTCAAATTATATTTTTTATTGTTTCATTTTATTCCGGCATAACCTCAAAATATTCTAAACATCTTTGAGAATGTGTTTTGTTTTTTTTCCAAAATTACAATTTAAATAACCAATGATCACAAGTTTATACGGATGACGAGTATACACGTCAATCAGTAAGACAACAGTTACCAAGTATGATAATCTTTTTGCGTTGACATTTCGATTCGATGTTAACAGGAATATCGAATGGCTATTAGGAATTTCCAAAAAGGTTTTTATTATCCTAAAGTTATTATTAAAGTATCGTTTAGTTTTTATTTTTGTCTCCTTTTATTGAAGTGATGCATATTAATGACAGATATTTACATATTATTTACTATTTTTATTTTTTTATAGATACGAAGAAATTAATTTCTAGAAATGGATTTGTCGTACAAACGATTATACCCAAGTCAATTATTTATTTGTCACTTGTAAGTTAATACGATAAAGCACGAGATGTAACAACCTTCTTGCGTGTTGTTAATAATAGCGTTAATTAATTCTTATTATTTCGAAACTAGCAATTGTCAGGTTGTACACGTTCCCGTACATGTACATGTTTATTACTTACTCTAATCAATTGATTTTAAAGAGTACTCGTGTAAACTGTGAAATTGATAATTATTGAGAAAGTATAATTATAATGTATAATTTTTAACTATCGTTAAATTATTTTTGTGTAAAAATATACAATACCATCAATTTTAATGTTGCCACATTAAACACCAAGAGTGATCATTTTATCGCAAAAAAATAATACTTGGAGATTATTATAATATAAAGAGAATAATAAATACAGTATTTTATATACATGAAATATACAATATTAAAAAAAAATAATCTCTTTTGCGATAAATTGAGAATAATGAGCGTTTTTAAAAGTAGCAAAAGTTATTTGTGCCATTTGTTATTACAACTGCGACTAACCACCATCTATATATATATATATATATTTTTTTAAATGTTCACAACAACATAATCAAAATAAAATGACAACATTTTGTCTCTTCATCAAGCAAAGAACTTAAATACATTCTTTATCATGATCGTCACGTCGATCTTTCAAAGTGGAATCAATTCTGTCGTAACATGAGACAGATAGACGACGGGTTAATAAAATCAAAAATAGGATAAAAATTTCCTCGTTTTAATGATATTTGTCATTTCATTTGTAATACGAAAGAAAAAGAAAAGAAGGTTAATTATGACAATATGCTTTTATCAATGACGTAGATCGTTGACTAATGATATAAATTAATAATCAAGGATTGTGTACCGTTGTAAGAATAATATTTTTAAATCTGAATAACGAGCTACATGACGAATTTTTGGAATATACAAAAATTTATAGCATATATAAAATTTTTTTTTTATGTAATTTAAGTACATATATATATATA